CAATACCGCTCTTACCTGTAATCAATAAAGTTGTGGCCATTTTTCGCCCATTAACCTAAATTCTGGTGTCCTGTGTCTTTATTTATCCCATCTGTGGGAGGGGGCGGGAATCGCCACACAATTTGTTATTCCTTAATGCTATTGCTATTGCTTCATCACGAAAGTATAGTCATTTCATCCAGGCTCAACTTGTCCCAGTGCAGACGGTGTCTGTGTCTGTAACATCAACATAGCTCATCTGAAAATGCAGCACAATCTTTTCCTCATTATGTTCAAGCGGCATTCATATGGAAAGCCAGCCCACCTATCAGGAGAGAAAAAGGGCTGGTGAGGGCATAGCCAGCGGGGAATAAAACTGAGATACCCAGATCATTGATCCCAGCATGACTTCCTTTCTCATCAGCGGAATCATGGCCTGATCCTCAAAGCCCTGCCATTCTAACAGGCCCAGTTCTCTCCCACAGAACTACATTGTTTGTGCATTTTGAGACTTCTACAACGGACTCCTCTTGCCAGGCTCCATCTGTTTTCATAGGTTTTCAAATAGATGTATTGTGGGATAATGCAAAATCAATCTGCAAAGAGCATTTACTTCTGGAATAAAACCCATTTATCAAGAAGTGCTTTTCAGGACCAAAAAATATATCTAGATTCTCTGTGAATAAAACAAGTGCTCTGTCTCCATTCATTCTAGAATATAATATCATTTGTACTCAGCCAAAGTCTCTGGGAGACTTTGTAAGGAATGAGGCTAATGAATTACGAATTGCAGAAGTTTGGCACAAATGCATTTCACTAGTCCGGAAATCCTACTGGCACACTCAGGTCATACTTGATTCAGATGCTTTTTCTGTCCTTCGAGCTGAATCTGGGGAAACCTGATTCATTCAGAGTGTTGGTATGAAGGGAGAATGACATTTCTGAATGCTTTTCAAGGCCAAAAAAACCCAGAAGTAATCCATGCTTGCAGTAAAGAAGCACACCCAGGGGATTGGTTCACGTTCCACCCTCTACCTCTTTTGCTGATAGTGGTATTCTGCATACAGCATGTCACACCAGGAAATTGATCAATATATGAGCCTCCATCCACAGCCAAAGTGGCCCGCTGCCAGGGACACGACCACATGATGCTAAATGTGTAGCTCAGCCCCAGACTGTTCCGTAATGAAAGAATGCAGCTGCCAACTCCATGCGAAAGCAAAACTTTAAATAAAGACGCACATTTCAGCATTTCCCATTTGACACATACTCACCAGTTATAAGGAAGAGAGGAAAGGTGGCCCAGCCCAAGCCAAAAGAAAAGCCATAAGAGGCTTTTCCTCCTGTCTCCCCTGTGTAGATGGCCATGGCAATCATGACACAAAGAGCTATTTAAAAAAAATGCATTAAGATATAAAGTTGGTTGTACATTAAATATTCCAGATGGCTACAGGGCTGGAGTCAAGGATCAAGTGGAACTGATTGTATTTAAGTGTTGCTGTTGTAAACTATTTTTTCAATTTATAATTGTTTTTTTTTTAAAAAAAAATGTTTTCACTTTTTATTTATTTATGTCTGATGTCTTACCGTGTTGTCATTTGTTGGAAGCCCCCCAAAGTAGCTGTAGCAACCCAGTCAGATTGGCAGTCTATAAATATATAACTTATTATAGTAGTTGTAGAAGTAGTAGACTATATTTATATATATATATATTAATTGGGTTCATATTTTATTTATTTTTTTATAACAATACTTATATGCTCCTGTATCCTAAAGATATGTTATAGAGGGTGACTAGAACAGCAAAAGGTACAGAGCTAGCTCACTAGTTCCTGCTGCCCTCTCTTGGATGTTTGCTCATCTAGAAAGCAGAAGGAGGGGTCCTACTTTAAAGAGAGAAAGAGAGAGATGGAGACAGAGACTTAAATCTAATGCCAACCTACTGAGGAGATTTCACCCCTCCCATATCCAAGAATCTGCTGATGAGTCTGGTGATTTTCCAGAGAGGAGGGGGCTGTGTTCTGCTCTCTACTTATTCCACTCCAGCCTAACATCAAAGAGTCAGTCAGTGTGTAGGAGAGAGAGAGACTGAGTGTTAGAGATTGTGTGTATAGATAAGGTTGCTGCTAAGAGCAGCTGCAGACACTCAGTGCAGTTCAGCATTCATTTTGCTTAGACCTCATATAGCTCTGTATATAGTTGTATTATCATTGTAGATAGAATAAAGAAGATATTCTACTGAGCTGCTCTCCGAGTCGTTTATGCTCTGCTGTACTCTGCTATACTCTGCTGTGCGATGACTGTCTTCTTGTTGGAGTGAATCCGGTGCTCACAACTCTAAGCTGTGAGTCCACAGCACTTTGACCTGTTCCTGTGTAGAAGGTGGTCTCTGGAAGTGCTACCCCAGCTTGCCTGGCCCAGTCAGGGCTGAAGTGGATGAGTCCAGTCCGTGGCACTGGCTCAAGGGCGATGCTGACACCTACCAGTGTAGATCCATTAGTTTCAATCGGTCAGTTTAGTTGGATACAACCTTGACTTTTGTTGTTATGAATGGAGGAAAATGCACTGACACGTGGGAGGTGAAGAACTGATGACCAAAAGCATATAAACACCCCACAAACAAATTAAGATCAAGGCTGGATGAATGGATGCTCAATAAAGACTGGACATAGTAATAATAATTTTAAGCTAATCTCTTTTGCAAGCATATCAGGATGAATAAATAGGTCATCTAGCTGAACCTTCTGTCACATTCAGGTCTGATTAAAATGCCAGAAATGAACTCAGGAAGAATTTGCATGTGAGTAATGTAGATAATGGTTTTCCCAGTAGTGATGTATGGAAATGAGAGCTGGACCATAAAGAAGGCTGATCGCCAAAGAATTGATGCTTTTGAATTATGGTGCTGGAGGAGACTCCTGAGAGTCCCATGGACTGCAAGAAGATCAAACCTCTCCATTCTTAAGGAAATCAGCCCTGAGTGCTCTCTGGAAGGACAGATCATGAAGCTGAGGCTCCAATACTTTGGCCACCTCATGAGAAGAGAAGACTCCCTGGAAAAGACCCTGATGTTGGGAAAGATGGAGGGCACAAGGAGAAGGGGACGGCAGAGGATGAGATAGTTGGACAGTGTTCTCGAAGCTACCAGCATGAGTCTGACCGAGCTGCGGGAGGCAGTGGAAGACAGGAGTGCCTGGCGTGCTCTGGTCCATGGGGTCACAAAGAGTCGGACACGACTAAATGACTAAACAACAACAATGTAGGTAATAGTTGTGCTGCATCAGTTGTCTTTGCAGAGATGTTTGCAGGTGCAGAAAACCATTGAAAAAGTATGCAAGCACTCTCTAAACCTCAGGAAACCCTTGAAAAACCCTTCTGGTAACCCAAAAACTCCACCAAACTCCACCACAATTGCTCCCTCCAAATCCCCTTTCTCGAACTTGAACTCTCTGCAGGCCTCAAACTTCAGTGTAAAAGGCTCCTGGGATTGCAAGACCACGTTTTTGCACCGTTTTAGGGCAGTCCCCCCCCCTTCTGTGCCACTTCTGGGTTCGCGGTGATGCATGCATGCACAGTCGTGTATGCCTTGAACATGCGTACATGGAAGGTTGTCTGTAAATCCAAAAGCATATTTCTGTCTTTGTAATGAGGTTTCCTTTTAGGCTTGGGAATCTGTGTGCTTGCGTTAAAAATATTCTTTATTAAAATCAAAAGCTGTGAGACAAACAGAGGAATCACAATAGTCATTTGCACATACACAATATTTAGAATTTGAAGGCCAAAACTCAAAACAAACAATGCCATCCATAGATAATTTCGTTCTGCTTGATTCATACAAGATGCCTGTCTTTCTCATTCCTTACTTTAACCCAGCCACTGAATGAATAATAATATTGCTTAGCATCATTCTTAATTTGTAATACAGACATACCTCGGGTTGAAGTAGCTTCGGGATAAGTATTTTCGGGTTGCGCGTTACTTCTGGGTTTCGCAGCTTGCGCATGCACAGACAGAATGATGTCACGCACATGCGCAGAAGCGGTGAATCGTGACTCACGCACGCGCAGATGTGAGTTGCATTCACTTCTGGATGCGAACGGGGCTCTGGAACGGATCCCGTTCACATCCAGAGGTACCACTGTACTAGCATGTGTTCAGCCAATACTATACTGTAAATATTTTGTAACCTCTAGAAAGAAATATTTTTAAGGGAATGAAAAGGGTTTCCTTCTGAATTGGGAGTAGCCTATCTGTTTGCTCTCCAGATGTTGGTGAACTCCAGCTCCGTTCTGCCCCAGCTAGCATGGTCAAAGGCCAACGGACAAGGTTGTTGGGAATTGTAACTAGGGTTGCCATAGGTCCAGTTTTTCCAGGACATATCTGGTTTTAGACAAAGCACACGTGTGCTCAGGAACTGCCTTCCAGGAGCACAAACAGCTGTGCCCTGCAAGCGCAAGCAACATGCCTCAGAGCGGGAGGAGCATCAGGGCTCCTTTGCGTGGTTCAACTGGGGCACAAGAGAGCTTCCAATCCCCAGCTGAGCCAGCCCCAGTGCTCCCCCTGCTCGCAGGCAAACCAGTGCCGGGCTGGGGACTCCTTTAACTGCTCAGCTGCAAGGAGTGGCAACCGCGCTCCCCACAGCCAGACAGTTTTACAGAGTCCCCAGCCCAGCACTTTAACTGCTCAGCTGAGCAGTTTCACAAAGCCCACCATCCCCCTTATTATTATCATTATTTATTTATCATGATTTTTTTAATGTCCTTTCCTTTGGTTTAGAAGATTTGGCAGCCCTAATTTGTAACAAAACAACATTTGGAGCGCACTAAGTTGGCTGGTTCAGTATTCAGTTAACGGATTGCAATGTGCTGTGAATTTGTCATTCCTTAACTCCATTGCTATTGTATAATGTGTCATCTTCATCATGAAAATATAGTCATTTCCTCCAGGTCCAACTTGTTCCAGTGTAGACTGTGTTTGTGACATCAACATAGCTCATCTGAAATCGTAGCACACTCATTTCCTCATTCTGTTGCAGCAGCATTCAGGCGGAAAGCCAGCCCACCTATCAGGAGAGAAAAAGGGCATAGCCAACAGAGGATAAATCTGAGATATCCAGATCACTGATCCCAGCATTACCTTCCTTTCTCATCGGGGGAATCATGCCCTGATCCTCAAAGCCCTGCCATTCTAACAGGCTCAGTTCTCTCCCACAGAATACATTGTTCATTTTGAGACTTCTACAAGGGACTCTTCTTGCCAGGCATGCCTCCATCTGTTTTCATAAGTATTTAAATAGATGCATTGTGGGATAATGCAGAACATATCTGCGATGAGCTTTTTTACTTGGTTGTGGTGCCCGCCCTGTGGAACGCCCTCCCATCAGAGGTCAAAGAAATAAAAAACTATCTGAATTTTAGAAGACATCTGAAGGCAGTCCTGTTTAGGGAAGTTTTTAATGCCTGGTGTTTTATTGTATTTTTAATATTTTGTTGGAAGCCGTCCAGAGTGGCAGGGTATTAATAATAATTATAATAAAATAATAATAAATAAGAAAAATAAAAATAACCCACTTATCAAGAAGTGTTTTTCGGGATCAAAAAATAGATGAAAATTGTCTGTGAATGAAATAGGTAGTCTGTCTGCATTCATTCTAGAATATAATATCATTTTTACTCCGCCAAAGCCTCTGGGAGCGTTTGTAAGGAATAAGGCTAGTAAATTACAAATTGCTGAAGTTTGGCACAAATGCATTTCCGTAGTCCGGAAATCCTGCCGAAACACGTAAGTCAAAATTGTTTTAGATGTTTTTCCTGCCCTTCGAGCTGAATCTGGGGAAACCTGATTCCTTCAGAGTGTTGGTATAATAATAATAACAATAATAAAATTTTCTTATATCCCGCCCTCCCCAGCCGAAGCCGGGCTCAAAGCGGCTAATAACAATATGAAGGGAGAATGGCATTTCTGAATGCTTTTCAAGGCCAAAAAACACAGATGTAATCCATGCTTGCAGTAAAGTTGCACACCCAGGGGATTGGTTCAAATTCCACCCTCTTCCTCTCTTGCTGATAGTGGAATTGTGTGCACAGCATGTCACACCAGGAAATTGATCAATATATGAGCCTCCATCCGCGACCAAAGTGGCACACTGCCAGGGGCACGAGCACGTGATGATGCTAAATGTGTAGCTCAGCCCCAGACTGTTCCGTAATGAAAGAATGCAGCTGCCAACTCCATACGAAGGCAAACTTTTAAATAAAGACGCACATTTTCAGCATTTCCCATTTGACACATACCAGTTACAAGGAAGAAAGGAAAGGAGACCCAGCCGAAGCCAAAAGACCATCCATAAGAGGCTTTTCCTCCTGTCTCCCCTGTGTAGACGGCCATGGCAATCATGACGCAAAGAGCTATTAAGAAAAAATACATTAAGATATAAAGTTGCTTGTACATTAAATATTCCAGGCTGACCCTGAAGCTGCAGCTAGTGAAATGCAGTGGCTGACAGATGTGCCCTGGTTGCCAGATGGCTATGGGGATAGGGACAAAGGATCAAGTGGAACTGATTGTATTTAAGAGTTGTTGTTTTAAACTATTTTTTATTTATAATTGGGGGTTTTTAAATTGTTTTCACATTTTAGTTATTTATAATGTTTGTTGCCTTACCGTGTTGTCATTTGTTGGAAGCCCCCCAGAGTGGCTGTAGCAACCCAGTCAGATGGGCAGCCTATAAATATATAACTTGGTAGTAGTAGTACAGTGGTACCTCAGGTTAAGTACTTAATTTGTTCCGGAGGTCTGTACTTAACCTGAAACTGTTCTTAACTTGAGGTACCACTTTAGCTAATGGGGCTTCCTGCTGCTGCCGCGCCGCTGCTGCACAATTTCTGTTCTCATCCTGAAGCAAAGGTCTTTACTTGAGGTAATATTTTTGGGTTAGCGGAGTCTGTAACCTGAAGCGTATGTAACCTGAGGTACCACTGTAGTAGTAGTAGAAGAAGAAGAAGAAGAAGAAGAAGAAGAAGAAGAAGAAGAAGAAGAAGAAGAAGTATACTATACAGTTGTATCTTGGAAGTCGAAAGGAATCCGTTCCGGAACTCGTTGGAATTCCAAAAAGTTCTGAAACCAAAGCGTGGCTTCTGATTGGCTGCAGGGAGCTCCTACTTCCGCCCTTGCAACATATCCATTGGATGTGCTTCCAGGGCAAGGAGAAAGCAGGGCTGAGCTGGCCAAGCATCCATTGGATCTGGAACCAGTCTCACCGCCCACATGCCATAGCACTGGACTTGAGCTAAACCTGACTGAAGCACCAGTCAGGAATTGGGCCTGATCATCCTGCTGCCCTCCCCTTCCCAGCTACATATCCATTGGAGATGTGGTAGGTGGCTCCACCACTCACAAAACCCTGGAGGTGGAGAGAGGACTATTGGATAGGTCCTTCCATCATTGATTTAAGCGGGTCTGATCAGAGTATAACTTCACTGGATCCATAATACCTGCAACAATGCTGGCTATGGCTGCGGTCTTGGCCTTGGAGATGGAGCCAAATTGCACGCTAAAAAAGGTGCCACAAAGACCAATGCAAGAGATGGCTCCAGCGATCATCCCAAAGAACATGAAGGCTCGGGTAACATGGATGAAATCTTTCAGGAAGGAAGGAAGAGAAAGGAAGAAGGAGGTTAAATTCCCACAACAGCCATTTTGTCCTGGAACCCACTTCACTTTAATCAAAACATTAATTCCTCCCCCCCCCCAAAAAAAGCATGGAGTGAATGTGTTATCCCTAGTCACACTGGATTTTCAGGGTGTTGAGGAACTGTCAGCTGCCCCCCCCCGCGCGCGCACAAGTTACTGTTGAATACTACACCACTAGTACTCCGAGCAGAAGACAAAAAACTTACCTTTCACATCCATCCCAATTGAACGACAAGTATAAATTGCCAGAACTTTAGCACAAGCTTTCCAGAGGCCAATGTGGCCCGAGGCATTTGCCAGCCAGTAGTCTGAGCCCAGGGCAATGAGTAGCAGCAGAAGGCTGATGAAAGCACAAACCACAGCACTGATCTGTAGGGCCTGCATTCTGCGAATGGTCAGATCTGTGACTGCTCAGCGTAACTGCGATGCCGAACCTGGGGAAGGGAGATTAGTTGCAGTTTATGTTTGGGTGTGCTTAAAATTTACATATCTGCCAAGAGGCCTACTGCAGATTGTGCTGTTGTGAAGATGTCCTCAGGCTGTACGTTTACTAATTCTCTGTTCCAAGTTCTCAGGGCGCAAGGTAAACAAAAAACAAACAAACTGTGCTGCCTTTCACCACCCCGTTCTCATAAGTGGTCCCTCCTCCCAAAATAATTCCCACCTTGATCCTCTGAAAACTGCTGAGCGCCTTGGTGGACCACTTACTAATTTTACCTGCCTGTTGCTTAGCGCCTACAAAACCGCCCTGACATCTGATAACTCTTTCAGGCAACAAGCCTATCTCTCCGTACGTGCCTTAAAAAAGAATATAAAGTGCTGATAACCCGTCAAAAGAACATCTGCAGCAGAAAATGCTGGTCAGAACTAACTAATTATTTGTAGCAAATGTAATATGCTTTGCCATCTTGGTTTTTTCCACCTCCTTCAAAAGCTTGATGGATAATGGCTTCGGAGATGGCCCTAAAGCTGTGGCACTGCCTCCTCACAGGTGTGAGTCTTGCACCATCATTATATAGCTTTTGGTGAATGCTAAGGAAACACCTCTTTACCCTGGTCTTTGACACTGGAGATGTCAAAATGATTTTTAATTTTTTTTTACAAAGTACTGTACGTCAGTACTTTACTGGGTCTCCTCCACCATTTGACACCTTTTGCCTGTGATATAGCAGTAGCTGAATAAATACATTTGTGCACTGGATTATAATTATAATTATTTTTAGTTATTGAAAATACTGTATTTTTCCATTTATAAGACATCCCCTTGTATAAGAAAACCCCTATTTTTTTAACCCAAAATTAAGAAATTCAGTTGTTTAGCTTCTTTGGGGGGGTGGGGGAAGTTACTTCCGCCAATCGCTCACCCATATGCCTGCCACTGCCGATCGCTTGCCACAGCCATTGCCAAGTGCACACCTCGCCGTATTCGCCAATTGTCTGCCCGCTCACCGCCACCAGCAGCACACCCACTCACTTGCCACAGCCGCCAATCACCTGCCCAGTTGCCGCTGCCAATTTCCTTCTTGCTGCTACTATTAATCACACGTTCCCCCTGCATTCATTCTCCATGTATAAGCGAACACCCAATTTTTGCCTTCTTTTTTTTAAGCAAAAAGCATTGTCTTATACACGGAGAAATATGGTATATGCCGCCATACATCTGCAGGTCTCTGAATCCTTCTTATGAACTGTTGACACTCTTTTATAGCTCTGCATTCAGATATGTGGATAGTGATAGAGATCTTTGTGGGGTTTGTATGCCTCACTTCTATATCTTTTAAGATCTATCAGATTGATGGACACCTTGGCTAGAAAAATTAAATGCCTGAGCTGAAGAATGGTGGCTAGCAGTGTCAATCACGGGCAAACACCTGCTCTCCCCACCCTCCCCACACAACTCCATTTCCTCAAGCTGCAACCGCCCCAGAACTACTTCTGCTTTGTGCCTATTTGTGCCCCAGTTAGTAAGTTAATGGAATTGAAACAGAAGGGTAGGATGGGAGAGGAGGAAGACATGAAGAGAACCAAACAAATTGCCATCCATTCACTCAGGAGTCATTTCTGTGAATGGTGTTTGGCTCAGGACAAATAACCGAATGGCATATATCTGCTCTCCTTCCCTCCCTCGCTTCTTCTCTCATCGTTCATCTTCATTGATTCGACCTCAGCCTTTGACAGAAAAGAAGACTTTTTATGGAGAAAACTGGGGACTAAGATGGACAGGTGCCTCTGCTGAGTTTAAATTAAGAACTTCAAGCTTCAAGTCAGAGTAGACTGAGAAGGCCAGTTGTCAGGGCCAATAGACTCAGCCAGAGCAGTTAGACAAGGTTGTTTGCCAGCTCCCATTGTAACTATCCAGCCTCCTAAAATTTCAACACCTCTTGTGATGGTTTGACCCCTTTCCGTTTTAACAGTGCAAATTCCACAAATACTTTCCATATCTCCTTAAAATCATTTCTCCTACATATTCCCCATTTTACCTTAATAGCACATGTTAATTTATCATTAGTAGCTATATCCCACACTTCTTTATACCATTCTTCTATTTTATATTCACCTTGCCCCTTCCACTTCCTAGCTATAAAAACTCATACAGCTGTCAATAAATTTGTGAGCAAGCCCTTCATAGCCTGCAAAGCTTCCACCTCATCATAAATTGATAACAATGCTACCCCTGGAATTTCAGACATCTTCAACCCAATTTTTTTTCAAATGTTCCTCTATTACCTGCATATTTTCCAATGGATTTTTGATTGTTAGCAAGGCGTCATGTGCAAATAAACTTATTTTCTCTTTTCCATTATTGCTTATTCCTTATATATTTCTAACTTCTCAAATTACATTGGCCAGAGTTTCAATGATCAATACAAATAAAATAGGGGAAAGGGGGCATCCTTGTCTTGTAGCTCAAACTAGTGTTATTTGTTCTGTTATACCATTGTTCAATATGACATATGCCTTGTTCCTCAAATATAATTGATTTATTAATCCCTTAAATCGTTTTCCAAATCCTAAGCTTTCTATAATCATTTTTAATGCCAACCATTCTACATAGTCAAATGCCTTACAAATATCCAGTGCTTCTATACCAACTTTCAGTTTATTTCTTCTTATTATATCCTTTGCTGGGATTGCTGAGCTTCCAGGTCCTGCTGCTGCTCCTTCAGACCATTAACTATCCACTGGTCTTTTCTGAGTCTGCCTCCCTTCAAGAGGAGAGATCACTGATGGCATTTCCTAACAAGAGTAGGCTAAGCATAGGTGAAGACAACCAGTATAAGCCCCTCTTCCAGGCAACAGATTTGCTTACCGCACGTCAGATCTTCAGAGAGATGTTCCTGCACACCAAAAGCCTCCAGTTCACAGTTCAGTCCTTCTCTCTGCTTCTCCTTTGCTCTGTCTTCAAAGGTTACAACACACAAACAACTTGCAAAAGGCCTTCAGAATTAGCAAGAGGAAATGGTGCAACCCACCTGGATTGCCACTGTGTTCCAGAAATGATCAAGAAGCCATTGGCCAACAGCAAGGCAAAAAGTGGGCAGAGCAACAAAGGTTAACTTCTCTGAAGTCTTATCCTGTGTTGGGGAGACCACTCCATCCCAATCTCCCATAAGGCACCAATTCTCATATGGAAAATCCACTAGTCTATTCATACATTCTTTGTAAAGAGATAAGTGTGAATTTTGAAAGATGTTTTGGTTTGCATATTGTTACAGAAAATGTGATTCAAATGCAGACTGAATCAAATCCCCACCCCTAGGGCTAACTTGGTTGTCTCAATCCCCATCTTTCTACTCTCTGGCGAAGTTGGACTTGTACCCTAGGAGTTGTGTTTTGTTAGGGGACATACTGGAGCTTATGCAATTTGTAGCTCACTTTACTTTGCATCTGTTCTTGTTCGTTTATTTCTTCAATTTATATCTCACCCTTCTTCCCAAAGGATTTGCTCCCAAAACTTTGCCCCCCCCCCCGACTTCTGGTCTGATCGCCATCGCGTTTGGCTGCTTTCCCATGGCACTGGACTCCAGCTGTGCAGGAATTCAGGGGTAATATGGGAGTAATTATCCCTGCCCCACCGGGTAGGGGGGGACTGGCCGTCACCTGCGGATCATCTGATAACTGCCGCTCACTACAGAATGTGGGGGCAGGGACGCTGGGTGCTGAGCACTGCAAAAATTGGAAACTCTCCAGAGCCATCGCCATGAGCATCCCTGTTCTTTAAAAATTAATTAAATCTGAACTTACAAACAGGCGTGTTCTGGAAGAAGGAGACAAAAAAAGACCTGCCAAGTAATTCAGTCACTGAGTGCCAAGCTTTGAACTGAGAAGGACTTTCAGCGTTTTCTACGGTTTATGTGAGGTGAGTGGCTGTTTCCTTTCTATACTTGCTATTTCACGATTTGAATTTGATTTGGATTTGATATCCCGCTTTATCACTACCCGAAGGAGTCTCAAAGCGGCTAACATTCTCCCTTCCCTTCCTCCCCCACAACAAACACTCTGTGAGGTGAGTGAGGCTGAGAGACTTCAAAGAAGTGTGACTGGCCCGAGGTCACCCAGCAGCTGCATGTGGAGGAGCGGAGACGTGAACCCAGTTCACCAGATTACGAGTCTACCTCTCTTAACCACTACACCACACTGGCTCTTTTGGCAATTTGGCAAGCCTCATTAAGAAAGATCTAATTAATCAAATGGGATGCAGGAGGAACTGTATAAAAACTTGAGAATTTGATGCTTCATGGCGCGGTCATCTGTGGAGGGCTCTAATTAGAACTGGCAAAAACTAGATTGATATGCTTTCAGCTTGGGATGATAAAATGCCAAAATGTGGTGCAGTTAGCTGATGGATTACAACTGGGGTATATCTCACACAAAAACTGCATCTGCTTGTATGGATTTTCATTGTATATCAATTATTAAAGTGAAGGTGAATCTTTGGTCTTAGCGAGCTTTCCCTAGGGCTCAGAGAGACCAAGCTTGGATTTTAGAGGAATCAAAAAATTATTAATTGTGGGATATATGCGATGGCATTGCTGTCTACAGAATATCTTTAATTGGACTCGGGGAACATCTGCTCGTTAAGAGACTCGAAAAATTACACTGAATTTCATTAAACAAAGGAAAGTTGGAAGACAGCCCAGAACTTTAGAGATAAGAGCTTGGTATGAAGATTGAACCCTTCGAGGGAGTACAGTGCTTAAAATAACTGACAACAAACACAACAAAATTCCTGTTGCATGTCAACATATTTATGGATTTGTTAAACATGATTGAAAGTCACATAACAGTGACTGTGATAACGATAAAGGGTTTGGAAGGGAATTTTGATATTGGGAATAAACAACAGAGAAAAATGCAGGAACATGTGAGAAATGGAGATAATAGTTGTACTGCACCTGATGTCTTTGCAGGGATGTTTGCAGGTGCAGAAAACAAATGAAAAAGTATGCAAGCACTCTCTAAACCTCAGGAAACCCTTGAAAAATCCTTTTGGTAACCCAAAACTCAACCAAACTCCACCACAATTGCTCCCTCCAAATCTCCTTTCTCAAACTCAAACTCTCTGCAGGCCTCAAACCTCAGTGCAAAAGGCTCCTGGGATTGCAAGACGCCGTTTTCGCACCGTTTTTGTCATTTCCATGCTCTTTTAGGGCTGTTTCCCCCCTTTCCGTGCCACTTCTGGGTTCGCAGTGATGCATGCATGCACAGTCGTGTATGCCTTGAACATGCGTAAATGGAAGGTTGCCTGTAAATCCAAAAGCATATTTCTGTCTTTGTAATGAGGTTTCCTTTTAGGCTTGGGAATCTGTGTGCTTGCCTTAAAAATATTCTTTATTAAAACCACAAGCTATGAGACAAACAGAGGAATCACAATAGTCATTTGCACATACACAATATTTAGAATTTGAAGGCCAAAACTCAAAACAAACAATGCCATCCATAGATAATTTCGTTCTGCTTGATTCATACAAGATGCCTGTCTTTCTCATTCCTTACTTTAACCCAGCCACTGAATGAATAATAATATTGCTTAGCATCATTCTTAATTCGTAATACTAGCATGTGTTTAGCCAATACAATACTGTAAAAATTTTGTAACCTCTAAAAAGAAATGTTTTTAGGAGAACAAAAAGGGTTTCCTTCTGAATTGGCAGTAGCCTATCTGTTGCTCTCCAGATGTTGGTGAACTCCAGCTCCTTTAAGCCCCAGCTTGCATGGTCAATGGCCAACGGACAACGGACAAGGATGATGGGAGTTATAACTAGGGTTGCCATACAACCAGTTTTTCCAGGACATATCTGGTATATAACGGGTGAAAACACCATCCAGGGGGATTTCTTTTTTATTGCCAAAATGTCCAGGGTTTGTGGTTTTATACAAAGCACACATGTGCTCGGGAACTGCCTTCCAGGAGCATGAACAGCTGTGCCCTGCAAGCGGAAGCAGCATGCCTCAGAGTGGGAGGAGCATCAGGGCTCTTTTGCGTGGTTCAGCTGGGGCACGGCAGAGCTCCCAATCCCCAGCTGAGCCAGCCCCAGTGCTCCCCCTGCTCGCAGGCAAACCAGTGCCGGGCTGGGGACTCCTTTAACTGCTCAGCTGCAAGGAGTGACAACCGCGCTCCCCACAGCTAAACAGTTTTACAGAGTCCCCAGCCCAGCACTTGAACTGCTCAGCTGAGCAGTTTCACAAAGCCCACCGTCCCCCTTATTATTGTCATTATTTATTTATCATGATTTTTTTATGTCCTCTTCTTTGGTTTAGAAGTTTTGGCAGCCCTAATTTGTAACACAACTGCATTTGGAGGGCACTAAGTTGGCTGGTTCAGTATTCAGTTAACGGATTGCAATGTGCTGTGAATTTGCCATTCCTTAATGCCATTGCTATTGTATAATGTGTCATCTTCATCATGAAAGTATAGTCATTTCCTCCAGGTCCAACTTGTTTCAGTGTACACTGTGTTTGTGACATCAACATAGCTCATCTGAAATTGTAGCACACTCTTTTCCTCATTCTGTTGCAGCAGGATTCACACGGAAAGCCAGCCCACCTACCAGGAGAGAAAAAGGGCTGGTGAGGGCATAGCCAGCAGAGAATGACCGCTCCCCGCTTAAAACGTGGGGGTGCCCTTTGCGTGGACGCGCGCAGCCCTAGATCTGGAGCGGCCCCATCAGCATAGGCTTGGCTTTGCCTTCCCTCAGGTGGGATACCTGGAGGTCTCCGCCTACCTCAGTCAGTTCTCTGGGGGAAGCGTTGCCAAGGAGACCAGGCCAGGTAGGGGAGGGATTACCTGCACACATAATAGAGGGAGGATCTTACCTGGGAATCCTCACTTGGCTCCAGAGCTTCTCCCACCCTACCCACCCTCAGTTAATGTCTTCTTTTGCAGGTTAACTTTTCTTCATAGGTTTTGCAGGTTAACTTTTCTTCAGAGGTATGCGGGCGCTGCTACGTTAAGGTCGCTGTTAAAGGGCCGGAAAGGAATTTCCCTGCATTGGCAGGTTTCGCCTTTCCCGTAGCAAAACGTCACAACTTTGGCGGTATCAGGCCTTGAGCGGAATCTTTTAGTCCATCTTCCTCTTTGCGGCGGCAATACCAGGGTTCCCCGTTAAAGGGGTTTCTGAAGGGAGGCTTTGACCGTACGCCGAAAGGTCGTCATTGCTCTCCCCTGTGGCGGCGGCGTAACGGGGGCGGCTATCTCTGCTTGAACATATGTTCTCCAGAGCCAGCCCATCCCCCCCACACACACACTGGATAACCCTGATGCTCCCTAGGTCCCCGGCTGGGGACTGGGGAGGGAGAACGCCCAATGCCTGAGCCAAGGTCTACCCACATTTGAAATTTAATAAAGTTGTGACCAATTTAATCCCATAGCACGTTGTCTTGAGTCATTATTCCACATGACGGGGGGGACCGCTCGGGATCTGGGGACTCCGCCTGTCCACGCAATAAAACACTATCTGAGATATCCAGATCACTGATCCCAGCATGACCTTCCTTTCTCTTCAGGGGAATCATGCCCTGATCCTCAAAGCCCTGCCATTCTAACAGGCTCAGTTCTCTCCCACAGAATACATTGTTCATTTTGAGACTTCTACAAGGGACTCTTCTTGCCAGGCATGCCTCCATCTGTTTTCATAAGTATTTAAATAGATGCATTGTGGGATAATGCAAAACCTATCTGCAATGAGCTTTTTTACTTGTAGGTTGTGGCACCAGCCCTGTGGAACGACCTCCCATCAGAGGTCAAGGAAATAAACAACTATCTGACTTTTAGAAGATATCTGAAGGCAGCCCTGTTTAGGGAAGTTTTTAATGTTGTGTTTTATTGTATTTTTAATATTTTGTTGGAAGCTGCCCAGAGTGGCTGGGGAAACACAGCCAGATGGGCAAGATTTAGCTAGTTATTTAGTTAGTTAGTTAGTTATAAACCCATTTATCAAGAAATTCTTTTCGGGATCAAAAAATAAATGCAGATTGTCTGTGAATGAAATAAATAGTCTGTCTCCATTCATTCTAGAATATAATATCATTTGTACTCAGCCAAAGTCTCTGGGAGCATTTGTAAGGAATAAGGCTAGTGAATTCCTGAAGTTTGGCACAAATGCATTTCCGTAGTCCAGAAATCCTACTGACACACTTACATCAAGCATAATTCAGATGTTTTTCCTGCCCTTTGAGCTGAATCTGGGGAAACCTGATTCCTTCAGAGTTTTGGTAAGAAGGGAGAAAGACATTTCTGAATGCTTTTCAAGGCCTAAAAACCCAGAGGTAATCCATGCTTGCAGTAAAGAAGCACACCCAGGCAATTCTTTCACGTTCCACCCTCTTCCTCTTTTGCTGATAGTGGAATTGTGTGCACAGCATGTCACACCAGGAAACTGATCAATATATGAGCCTCCATCAGCAGCCAAAGTGGCACACTGCCAGGGGCACGACCACGTGATGATGCTAAATGTGTACCTCAGCCCCAGACTGTTCTGTAGTGAAATAAACAGCTACCAACTCCATGCGAAGGCAAACCTTTATATAAAGACGCACATTTCCAGCATTTCCCACTTGACACATACTCACCAGTTATAAGGAAGAGAGGAAAGGAGGCCCAGCTCAAGCCAAAAGACCATCCATAATTGTGCTGTGTTCCCGCACGCCCTGTGAAGGTGGCCATGGCAATCAGGACACAACCAGCTAGGAAGAAAAATACATTAAGATATAAAGTTGCTTGTACATTAAATATTCCAGGCTGACACGGAAGTTGCAGCTAGTGAAATGCAGTGGCTGACAGATGTGCCCTGGTTGCCAGATGGCTATGGGGATAGAGACAAAGGATCAAGTGGAACTGATTGTATTTAAGCATTGTTGTTTTAAACTACTTTTTATTTGTAATTTTTTTTAAAAAAATGTCTTCACATTTTAGTTATTTATAATGTTTGATGTCTTACTGTGTTGTCATTTGTTGGAAGCCCCCCAGAGTGGCTGTAGCAACCCAGTCAGATGGGAAGCCTATAAATATATAACTTAGTAGTAGTAGTAGTGGTAGAACTATACTATACAGTTGTATCTTGGAAGTCGAAAGGAATCCGTTCCGGAAGACGTTTGAATTCCAAAAAGTTCTGAAACCAAAGCGTTGCTTCTGATTGGCTGCAGGAAGCTCCTGCTTCTGCCCTTGCAACATATCCATTGGATGTGCTTCCAGGGCAAGGAGAAAGCAGAGCTGAGCGGGCCAAGCATCCATTGGATCTAGAACCAGTCTCACCGCCCACAGAGCTCAACCTGACTGAAGCACCAGCCAGGAATTGGGCCTGATCATCCTGCTTCCCCACACCCCACACCCCCGGTACATATCCAGTGGAGATGTGGTAGGTGGCTCCACAACTCACAAAACCCTGGAGGTGGACAGAGGACTATTGGGTAGGTCCTTCCATCATTGATTTAAGCGGGTCTGCTCAGAGTATAACTTCATTGGATTCAAGCAAGAACATTTGGATTCAAGCTGGACATTTCAGCTTGGCACAGTCTACAGCTTTGTGTTCAGGGGCTTCAGGGGCTTGAACTGACTGGAAGCAGATGCTTATGACCCCCCATAATACCTGCAACAATGCTGGCTATGGCTGCGGTCTTGGCCTTGGAGATGGAGCCAAATTGCACGCTAAAAAAGGTGCCACAAAGACCAATGCAAGAGATGGCTCCAGCGATCATCCCGAAGAACATGAAGGCTCGGGTAGCATGGACGAAATCTTTCAGGAAGGAAGGAAGAGAAAGGAAGAAGGAGGTTAAATGCCCAAAAAAGCCATTTTGTCCTGGAACCCACTGCACTTGAATCAAAACATTAATCCCCCCCCCCAAAAAAGCATGGAGTGAATGTGTTATCCCTAGTCACACTGGATTTTCAAGGAGTTGAGGAACTGTCAACTGTCCCCCCCCCCCAAGTTACGGTTGAATACTACACCACTAGTACTCTGAGCAGAAGACAAAAAACTTACCTGTCACATCCATCCCATATGAACCGCAAGTATCAACTAGTCCAATATGAAAACAAGATCTCCAGAGGCCAGTGTTGCTCACTTCATTTTCCAGCCAGTAGTCTGAGCCCAGGGCAATGAGGAGCAGCAGAAGGCTGATGAAAGCACAAACCACGGCGCCAATCTGCAGGGCCTGCATGGTGCGAATGGTCAGATCTGTGACTGCTCAGCGTAACTGTGATGCCGAACCTGGGGAAGGGAGACACGCACATTATTCCACATAAGTTGCAGTTTATGTTTGGGTGTGCTTAAAATTTGCATATGTGACAAGAGGCCTACTGCAGATTGTGCTGTCGTGAAGATGTCCTCAGGCTGTACGTTTAATAATTCTCTGTTCCAGGTTCTTAGGGTGCAAGGTAAACAAAAAACAAACAAACTGTGCTGCCTTTCACCACCCTGTTCTCATAAGTGGTCCCTCCTCCCAAAATAACTCCCACCTTGATCCTCTGAAAACTGCTGAGCACCTTGGTGGACCACTTACTAATTTTACCTGCCTGTTTCTTAGCAAATGTAATATGCTTTGCCCTCTTGGTTTTTTCCACCTCCTTCAA